CTCTCTCTCTCTCTCTCTCTCTCTCTCTCTCTCTCTCTCTCTTACCGTTTAGAGTTTTTCAGTCACATACACTCTTGTTAACTACAAGAGTAGAGAACAAGTCAAGTATTACAAGTTAGGAATCTCACTAATTACAAGAAAGTAATTAAGGAAGGTAAATCTCCTAAATCAATTAGTATAGTTGTCGTAACACTCCCCATTAAGTTGGTGCATACATATCACTCATACCCAACTTGGCAAGAGAGCCATAAAATGCTTGAGGCTTTTATGGATGAAGCCAATTGGACAAGGTGCGGCTGCTAAATGGTGTTGAGGGTGTTGATATGCACGGTGGGGTGGAAGTTATAGATATGATGGACTTAGATGAAGATACTCAAGTGGAAGAAGAAATGCTTGATGTTCACAATGACATGGTGTGGTGGAAGCTATAAATATGATGGACTTAGATGAACATGTTGTTGGTGTTGAGGATGAACATGTTGGTAATGTTGTGGGATCTTCATATAAAGATCATGTGATGTCTCCTCTTGAACATAGTCTATGCGCTCTTTATGCGGGTGTTAATCATCATGAACAAGTTGTTCTTGATATGAATGGTGGGGTGGAAGCTATAGATATGATAGACTTATATTTTAGCATTTGATCCACAATTGCTAGGCGATGAAAAATAGACTTGATGGATAGGGTTTCCACCTCATTTTCTCTAGAGCCCCCATGTTCTAAGTATTATTCTCACATAGCATAATGGCACAATTTGATGGTCTTTTCATCTCTCCAGCTCGAAGGTTGCAGAAAAAATTTTGGATCATCATAAAGGAATGCAAAGGCTTAGTCGAACTCCTTGAAATCCCAAATCAAGTATGGCTTTTGCTTGGATTCTATTTTCTTTCTGATAGTTTTCATGTATGTGTTCAATCTAACAATATGTTTTATATGAGCAAATGTTTTTTGGATAAATCTTTCTTGGTGGAATTCGTTTTGTCCATGCGCATTCTACAGGTTATTACTATATCTTAAATGATTGATTAATCTCTCTTTCGAAACCCTACAGGTTATTAATCATCATGAACAAGTCGTTCTGGATATGCAAGGTGGGGTGGAACCTATATATATGATAGACTTATACTGTAGCATTTGATCTGCAATTGTTAAGTGATGAAAATTAGACTCAATGTTTAGGGTTTCCACCTCTGTTTCTCCTGAGCCCCCATTTTCTTAGTATAATTCTCACAGAGCATAATGGCACAACCAGATGGCCTTCTCATCTCTCTGCCTTGAAGGTTGCAAATAGCTTTTTGGATCATCATAGAGGAATGTAGAGCGTTAGTCGAACTCCTTGAAATCCCAAATAAGGTAAGGTTTTTATTGGGTTCTTCAGTTTTTGGTTCTTGCTTGGGATCTATTTTCTTTCTGATAATTTTCTTGCATGTGTTCAATCTAACAATATGTTGTTCATGATGATTAATAACAAGGTTTCGAGAAAGAGATTACTTAATCATTTAAGATATTGTAATAACGTGTAGGATTCATCTGGACACAACGAATTCCACTTGGAAATATCTATCCCGAAAATAATTGTCGGAATAGAACATATTGTTAGATTGAACACATGTAAGAAAACTATCAGAAAGAACATAGAACCAATCAAAACCTTACTTGATTTCGGATTTCAAGGTGGGGCCTCTTGAGAAAATGAGGTGGAAAACCTAAACATCGAGTCTAATTTTCATTGCCTAACAATTGTGGATCAAATGCAACAATGTAAGTCTATAATATCTATAGGTTTCACCCCTACTTTGCATATGAAGAACTAATTGTTCATGATGATTAATAAGAACTAGAAACCCTCAAGTCATAACAAGAATCCTAGAAGAGCGAAAACAAGAAGCCAGAACAACGAAACCTAACCTTCATCTCTTCGCTTCTCACCATTTTCAAAACTCTCTCGTTTTTTTTCTTTCTTACTACGACATATGCGGAAGTGGCTAAAGAAGTCGGCTCTAATACTATTATACATAAGGTATAAAGGGTCAATTTTGTATATTTGGGATTTTGTAGTATCGCGAGTACCTAAGGCTTGAAAATGAAAATGAAAATGCCAAGTAACACGTCAGCAATTGAATCTGAAGTCCATTGCCAGGCTTGGATATGGGAAGGGGCTTGCTGTGAGAAGAAACATTTGCCTGAAGCCAAAGATATATATATGATTTGATTGATATATCTGAGAAGTAGTGTGGTGAGTGAGAGAAGTGATGTGATTAATTGCAAGTGGACAATATCGCTCAAATTAGTATAGTAGTAAATAGAGTATCGTTCCAACAAGGATCAAGTTAATCTATTAAATATTAGAGTAATTTATTTCTAATTATATTTGAATTAAACAATAAGAGAATTATGATGATTAAAATCTAATTAAGCAAGTAAAATAAATTGAGATTAAGTAAATAATGTAAAAGATGAAAACAACGATGATAAAGCACTAGGACACCGATTTCACCTAGCTAATCCCACCCAAATCTTTCTAGCTTGTTAATCCTAATTACCTAACATATTGATAATCGTTTTCCCTTACCCCACCAATACTCTCTTTCAAGTTATATTAGTTGTGTTCCGTACCATCAACCCACTCTATTCCTAGTTATAGATTTAGATGGCTAAGAACCCATTAAGATTTGTGGAAAACATTAAAGACTACACAAACCATAACCTAATCTTCCGAGTCAGCTATGTAATTTATTGTACTTGTTACAAGAAGCTATTTATTAGGAATCTCCTTCTGGTCTCAACCCAATTCTTCCAATCATGCAATTAGTGGCCAATTAATTGAAAGCATTAAGAACGGTAACAAGCGCTCAAACATGTATAGATAAATAAAATTAACAATAACAAAGAATTTGAGTATTCATAGCTAGGCTACATTGTAGCCCTAGTAAAACAAATTAGTTCATGAAGGACTTATTAAGAATCATGATGATTGATAAAGACATGGAAGGCACCGAATTCTCCAAGTAGAACGTCAAGGTTGCGCAAGCTCTCTTTGTATTCTCCTTTGAGTGTTTCAGCTATGAGTATGAATGTGTGGAATTTGATGGTAGATGATCTTTGATCAATGGCCGAAACTCCCTATATAATACTCCTAGAAATCCTAAATATCTAAGGTATAATTAGAATTGTTATAAAAATAAAAAAAAACAGGATTCCTTCTAATATAATTTCTTCTTTATTTCTCTTTGTTTGACTTGGTAAGACTTGAACCATCTTGAACTAGGAATTTTGATAACATTCCTTTTGATGAAAGGAATGATTTGGCTTATTTTTAATTAATATCCAATCTTCATCTTCTTGCCCCTTTTTACCTCAATTTCTCATATTTCACAATTCCTTCACAAATCTCACAAAACCAATTAAAACAACCAATTTAATCCAAAGAAATTAACAAATAAATAAGTAAATGAGGCATAAAATATAGGCTTACCAAGAAGGCAAAGATATATATATTTGTGTGGAGGCAGTTGTCACTGAAAAGGTGAGGGTTTGATTCGTGGCTAAAATGGGGGAATGGTCTACTGTGGACGGCAAAGAAGAATATATTTCTACTGTGGACGGTGGAGGGAGAGAAAAGGGTGGAGGTGGTTGTGGCAGAAATAAGGGAATGGTCTAGGGTTCCTACGTGGGTCAGGAGGATGCATCAGGCAAGATGAAGGGTAAAGAGAGAAACCAGTAATATATATCGTATATATAGCTTTGGCGTCTCTTTGGTTTGGCCGACTCCATCTTTCCAAATAGTCAATGTTTTGTCGACAAGTTGGTCAAACTCCAAGTCCAAGGTACAACTTAGGTTAGGCTAACCCAATCCAGATTAGAGGTGTCAAACGGGCCATGTTGGGTTGGCCCGGCCTGTTTAGAGTCGGTTCATTTAATAAACAAGGAGTGTCGAGCCCTATCCACTTATTAAAATCATCAATCCCAACTCAAGCCTAGTCCATATGAGCTCGGGCCGTGCTTAGACCAACCCAATGTGTTTGACACCTCTAATGTGGA